TAAACTTGGTGCCTCAGTTTTATCATTTGTCAAATGGCAATAATAATAGTACCTACCTCCTGGAGATCTTGTGCTTAAAACAGTCACTTGCACAGTGTAAGTGCTTAGTACGCATTAGCTATTAGCTATCATTGCCACTGCAATCCCAGCATTAGCAAATTGTTCCCTCCTGCTACCACTCTGCTTGCTTACCTTGCAGGTTCTCTTCAAACAAGCAGATGTTCCCGGGAGCCACACTCTGCCTACTCTACTATTTTGCTGAGGACTCAGTAGGCCTCTGAGCTCCACTGGGGCCTCCCTCTAGGGTATGTAAGGGCAGAACAAAGGTGAAAAAATAGGAGAGCTCCTGGCAGCTTGGCACACTCTTCGTCCCCACTCTCCCATGCGCAGTGAGAGCCAGCACCGGCCAACCTACCTGTTCAGCACCTCTGCGCAAGGATGTGCGTCCAGAGTGGGGAATGGATGTCCACAAACCCAGGGCTGAAGCTAACCTCCATGCAGCTGTCTACAGGGCCAGGAAAGCAGACTGAGGACATTTGCTGAGGCTCCTCAGAGAAAGTCATTTGTTGAGGATGAAGAGATGCCAAGGCACGTCCCCTTTCTCCTTCCTGCTCCAGCGTCTGCTTCTACAGAGAGCCCATCAGCACTCTCCCAGCTTGGTCTCCCTCTTCCTCATTCCCATGTTGCCATAGTAGAGGTGGCCACATGGCCCAGAATTCCTGCCAGGTACCACCACATCCTGCAGTACAGAGTCCCCCAAAGCAGTTGTTCTCCTACAACCACTTCTACTTGGCTCTGCTAAAGATGCTATCACAGAGTTTGGGTATCACCAGGACAGAAGCATACCCTCTTTTGCCCAAGAAAGATATACAAATTTTAAAGCATTCTGTCATTTTAGTCATTATTTAGAAAATCTTAAAATGAAATTCCCAAAATTATCATCAGATGTCAATTTTATTGCCAAACAAGGTAATTTGGTAAACAAATTAATCCCTTCTCCCTCCAAACCCCAGTAATACTGCATGTTACCAGGGACACCATTATTCCAGAGCCCCTTCCTTTGGAAAGGCTGGAAGATTGCTACACAGCAAAGGACACAGGCAACCCCCAAAGGGCTACTATCCAAGGTTGGTGTCTACCAGGACCACCCGGCTTAAACTCAACCTACCCCCATTCCTTCCTTTACCGTCCTCCTAAGTTTAGAATAACAGTATCCATGAATTGAATACCATTTGCTGAGGACTGTGCTAACTGCTTTCCAAGCATTAACTGATACAACTCTCTGCCAAGTAGGATCTAGTGTCTCCATTTTACAGCCGACAAGAGGGGCCTGTGGAAGAGTATGGAATGGTTGGAACAAGCCAAGACACTAGCTCCTTGGCAAACTCTTTGCCTTGAACATGTGGTAATCACATAGAGTGGATTTTCAAACTTTGTGGATGTCAGTCATTCTCTTACACTGAGATGTTCCTGAATGTCAACATCTTGGCATCTAATTCCATTTCCCAGTCAATCTCTCACCCTGAGAGAATACACTGGGAAGGACAAGTGCAGTGGCACCATGAGAATCCTTTGTCATCATGAAGCTCAGCGATAGATTTGGGAAATCTGGAAACCACACTTATAGGTCAGAGCACTGGGGCTGGAGGCAGGTGAAAACCATGGACCCCCACCAAGGGGCAGCTCATTTTCCTAGAGCTTATCCTTCCCTGGAAGAACAAGACGCCCACAGTTTCTGTCCCTTTGCAAGAACGCTGATGCTGGGATTGGCAGGGGCACATGCGTGTGTGTGTCTGTGTGTGCATGCACACATGTGCTCAAACCCAGTAGATACGGATCATCTTTCTGATAGTCCTATGAATTGTGTGAGTGTCTGACACATAAACATGCCATCAATACTAGTAGAGAGGAAGAAAGGCATGAACACTTCAGAACGGCAGCTAACTTAAAAATCACTTTAGGTTTCTGTGCTCATGGGGGACATGACTGTATTTGATGAATTTGGAAGTGATAACACTGCAAACGATGATGTTATCAGCGTTCCTCAGAAAGAAACCCTCCCATGTCCTACATCCTAACACCTGCTACTAACTCTACCTGCGGTCCCAGCCCTGACCTGCTGGGAACCAAAGCAGCACCGGGGGGAGTAGTGAAGGGCTGGGGGGTTGTTGAGGAGATGCACGGGGCTGGGAAGCTGCATGTAGAGAGAGTGCCAGGGCTCTGCCCAACAGAGCACGTGTGGGAATTGATGGGTGTTTCTTGTCTAAAGACACACATCACCAAAGCATGTGCTCAGGTGTAATATTCGGGTGCTAGACCAGATACCCAAAGCCAAATGTGCCACATATAAGGCCTAAACGACATTTCTGGGACTCAGAGTTTTCTACCACTGGGTCTCTGAAAACTGCTTTCCAGGTTGTGTCAAGAAATGTCAAGTTTCCATGCGTTCCTCTGCCAAATGTTTCTCTAGGGCATACAGGGTGGAGAGGTAGTCACACCGTAGAGAAAAGGCAAGTCTGCTTAGTGTAATCTATGGGCTCAATTACCTGGAAGGCTTAAGAAGTGGGATATTCCGGTTCACTAAACCTTCTCATCAATTCAGTATTGACCAGACATTTCTTCTTGTTGGGGCTTTTAAACTGGAAATACTTCCGTAATGTTGACTTTCTTATCTCAGCAAGAACAGTTGAATGAAGGAGCAGGTACTCTGCTGAACTGGGACTCTGTGCTGCCTGAGGCTCGGCTCTTTGGGTCCATGATCATTATTTAAGCTGCTTCTCTTAAAAGCACAGACAGATAATGCCCTTGAATGTGATTAATCTCCCTCTCTTTTTTACTGTAATTTAAAACTGATTAAGTGCATGACATGAATTTGGCCTGATTAATCAAGGCTCCTCCAAGGGAAAGAGAGCAACAGCGATTAGATAATGATTGACTGGTGGACAACTTGTCCCCAGGAAATGGAAATGGTTTGAAGGTGGTTAAGCCCATCATGGAAACAAAGATGTCTGCTCATGACATTGCAGCTCACATGGTCCCCAGGGCACGGTGATCGGAGAGACTATCTCCCCAGCACCAAGAGCCGTGCCTGGCACATAGGAGGCTCAAATAATTTGTTTAATGAATGGAGTCCTGTCTACCTGTTCTACACCATTTGTTCATCCATCCCTCTATCGCTCTCTCCATCCAGTATTTCTGTGAGATGTGAAAGCATGGGCTACGGGGGATTCAATGGTAAACAAGATACAGCTTCTTATGTAGAGTCATCTCTGTTTCAATGGACTTTTTAAAGGAGAAGAAATGGTAAGTGGTGGACTTTAAAGAATGGCTTGAACACAAACTGTATTCTCATATATCTTCACTATACCACACTCTTCACTTTTGGCAAATCCTGGTTACTGCCCCCACTGGAGACTCACAGTCTGTGTGCTTTCAAAAGGAAACCTCCATCTTCCTGTCCAGATATGGTGTAGACATTGGTCACTGCCTGAGCAGGACACTGGACTAAGCTGCACCGATGATTTCATTTGAAATGGTTTTGTCCTACTTGTTTCCTTGGTAGTGAACCCAACTACAGCTTCTTCCAAGTTTTCCCATCCCTCCTCACCCCACTTGACATTCTCTCTTTTCCAAACAAGGAGGATATCCCAAGAGGGCAAATGGGAAGGTCTACGGCCACTTCAAGGCTGCAGTCTCCTGGATGGTAGGAAAACTTCCAGCATGGTGCTTTCAGGCAAATTCTGAGCATTTGTTAGAATGTCATTTAGGGACAGTTCTGCCCAGCAGAATATGCATCAGGAGCCTTTCTCCACCCACCATCCCTGTTCCCCCTCCAATGTTCTCTTTCTGCACTTCAGAATAAGAAACAACTCTCCTCTCTGGCATTGCCCCAAAGGAAAGAATATAAATAAAGGGTCCAACAGAGACTCTGGAAATTGCTCCTCTTCAGGAAGCAACATGGATATTTATTCTAAAATATAGAGGTGGGTTTATATTCTAGTAGATGATCTGGAATTTGGAGGAACCGTTCTTTACTGTCACTAGGTGTGGCTTCTGTTTCTGCTTAATTCTACTTGGCTATATTAATTTCTATTTTTTTTTAAGAATCTAAAAATTTCTTGTCTTTACATAGTGCTTCCACATAACAAACCTCTAATTTGGTGACATTCAGGCCTGGACCTTTGTATCACATGTGACACTATTATATGCAATGTGCTTTTCAAGACTGCTCCTTTCTGCACCGGGTCATGATAGTACATCACACTCTGTAGCCATGGTATAGTCACATGACCCTTCCTGTTTATAGCAATTGCACCTGCAGTTCCAGAGTGGTAGAACTGGGAACAGCATTTGGATTCTGATTCTTCCTCACAGTGCTTGGGTGAAAGGGAGGGCAGAAATCATGATCCCCTTTCTATAGGAGGGGAAACCAAGGCAAAGAGAGGTGATCTACCTAAGGTCACCCAGTAAGTCAGAAAGCAAGCTGGGTAAATGTCAGGTAAGATCACCTATGTAGCTTTCAGTGCCTTATGCAAAAAATCAGATTGTCCCCTCAAACGAATGCACATACTTTGGAAGTAAGTGGTTTTAGGGTGAAAATTTCTATGATGGTTTCAAAAGCCCTTTACCAACTTAGGAACCACAAGGTAAGAACCAGAATCACATTATCCTTTTAGTTAAATCTTCCTGACTCACAGACAATACCAGTTATTACAACTCACTGACAACCTGGTTATCAACAAGAAGAACATTTTAGGGAAAAATTCACTCATTCAAGAAATAAACCTTGATACACAGCTACTGTTCTGGTTTCACAACATCTTAAGCATACATAACAGCTAAGGACTGCATCCTCCTACACATAAAACACTCCTTTTATACTTGCTGGCATGTGATGGGTTAGGGGCGAAGGGTTGATGAAGAGTGTGTGTGTGTGTGTGTGTGTGTGTGTGTGTGTAAAATAACCAGCCTTTTTAGGGACAATTCTGCCCAGTAGAATATACATGAAATATGTCTACTGTAGTAGTTCTCTACCCTGATTCCTTTTCCATTTTTTTTTTTTTGGTAACTTTTAATTTACTGATCCTGATTTAATGTAAAAGTGATGTTTTACTTTCCACCTTCCCTGAGGAAGGCAGAGTCAATGGGTGGATGTGGCAGGCGACCAATTTCAGCTTCACGGGAGGGAAGCACTCTCACGGGTTAAAACTGCCTGATGATAACTGGACTCGACCTTTTGGACCAGGCAGTGGCTTGGTATTACAAATATCTCCCCCCAGAGGCTAAATGACCATCTGTCCTAGATGCACTGCCTCTTCCAATACCAGGAATCCATATTCCCAGAAACAAACTAGCCTAACAGCAGTCTGCCTGCCTCCCAACTCCAGGTTAAGAAAGGCACAAAGAAGGCCAACAAATAATACTGACATGGTGCTTTGGATCCAGGAGAACTTGTGGTACCAGGAGAGGAATACTGATGGGAAAGGCGAGGTATGGAGAAACCAATTAAATACTTTCAATCATAGGTGAGAGGATACCAGGAAATTTAAGGGGAGACTCTCTTTTTCCTGGGGGCGGGGGAAGGAGATAGACTGCCAACAATAGCGAGCACAACTCTCAACAAAGAGGCAATTCCAGCTCTCCAGCCACCACAGTAAAGCAGCCAAGGATACCCTAATTGTCCTCAGAGCAGTTGAGACGATTCCTTCACAGAGGGAATCCTGCACTCCAAACTCTCTGGGGCCCACCCTTGAGACTGCATCCAAGGCTGGAGATTTAGGCAGGAATGGCCTGGGCAGGCACATAAGGTAGTGCTGCTTCTTAAGGCATGGCTGCTGTCTTTGTGGAGTGGGCCCCACTCTGGGAGGTGGCATCAGGCACCGCCTCCTCTGACACCACCCTGCAAGGAAGCTTAATTAGGTGGAGCACTGCTGCTGAAGGAACTGCCTCCTACAGGGGCTGGAGGCTTCCATTAAAGCTAAACAGCATCACCAAACCAAGCAATTTCCTGTGACACTTGGTAGAATAAGGAGCGGAAGGCGGGGGGACACAAATCGAACATTATCCGCAGATGATTGTCTAACTAGAAAACCTGGGGACTCGGTTGAAAATCAATCAGAACTAAGATGAGAATTTGCTCAGGTGGCTGATTAGGAGTCAGATATTACACAAATCAATAGCTTTTGGGGTCACTAGGGCGTGGCTTGATACTTTGGAAGAGCTGTGCTTTTCTGGGAGGCTTTGTGCAACTTGCCATATTTTGAAAGATGGAGGTGAGCCAGGGAGTCGTCTCAGACACCAATGTAAGAAAGGTGCTTGGAGCGACTGCTGCAGAAGGGGTGGGGACAACCACTTCTGTGCTTTCTCCTGGTAGAGTCTCCCCAGTCTCTACCAGCCCCCTTCCCCCAGCTTCTCTCTATTCCAGCCCAAGAAACACATAGGGAAGTTTGGCAAGGGCCGGTGCAGGAGCCACCAAGGGTGGATGTGGGCAAAGATTGTGCTATGTCATCTCCAAACGAAGTTTTTAAAAACAAAGGGGGCCGGCTGACAGGTCCCACATGTCCATCCTCTCGTTGCCTCATTGGTCAGAAGCCTGAAGAGGCACGGTGACGCGCTCCAAGGGGGACTCCCACGGATAGCCAAAGTGGCCGAAGGAGGCCCCACCGGGCTAGGCGTGCCAATTTGGCTGGCAAAGAGCTGCAGTCATTTGCGGTCCAGGCTGGCGTGTAGCTGGGCCTCCCGCACCATGCGGTCGAAGGAGCGCGTGTTGGTCTCCTCTCGCACTTTTTCGCGCACGTGGAAGGAGGCCCGGGCTGTGGAGCGGGCGCTCTCAAGCGCACTGCGCCGTTCCCGCGACAGCTGCTCACTGCGCTCCAGCTTGCGCCCGATGGCCTGGAGCAGCTCTCGGCGGCGGCTATCTTCGTCCCTCTCCACCTTCTCCTTGTTGGCGCGCTGAGCCCGCTCCTTCTCCAGCCGGCTTTGGCCCACGCGCCGCGCCTTCTGCTGCACTGCCTCCTCAGCCACCTGCGTCGCGTGCTGCAGCCGTCGCTCCCCTGCCCGGGCCAGCGCCTCCAGGTGCGCCTGATGCTCCCGCTCTTTGCGCTCGGCCGCCTCCTTGGCCCGCCGACCCTGCAGCTCCTCCCGCCGGGCCCGCTCCCGCAGCTCCCGGGTGCGCTGCTCCACCAGATGCTCATAGTTCTCCTGCGCGCGGCCCAAGCTGGCTTCCAGGGAGCTCCGCAGGCCTTCTCGCTCCTGCTTCTGCTGCCGGGCCCGGCCCTGCATCAGCGCCTCGTGGCGCGCCCGTTCTGCCCGGCTCAGCTCCCGCTTCTCCCTCTGCGCTTGGCCCTCCTGCCGCTGCTTGGTGCGCGCCGCGCGATGGGCGCGCTCCCTGCGGACCTGTTCGGCCCGCTCGCGCCCTTCCTGCAGGCCTTCCTCCCGCTGCTTCAGGTTCTGCTCCTGCTGCTGCTTGCGCAGCCGGTCCTCCCGGGCCACGCGCTCCGCCTTCTCCCGCCGCAGCAGGCCCTGGCGCTCCGTCAGCTCCCGCCGCCGCTCCTCGCTGCGCTCGTACTGCCGCTGCCGCCGCCGCGCCACCTCGCGCTCCTCACGGCCGCGGCGACCCCGCCGCTCCTCCACTTGCGCAGCCCAGGCCCTGCGGCCCTGCTCCAGGGCGCGCTGCTTCTCGCGCTCCTCGCGCTCCCGCCGCTGCTCGGCGCGCACGCGCTGCTGCTCCCACTGGCCGTGGGCCGCGGCGCGCTGCTCCAGCAACAGGCGCTCCTCCTGGTGCCGCGCCAGCATGAGCGCCGCGATCTTCCGGTCGCGCTCTGGCACCCCGCGCAGGCCCCGCTCGGCACGCACTTGGCGCACGATGCGCTCCACGTGCTGGGCAGTCTGCGGCGAGTGGCTCAGGTCACCCAGGCTGAAGCTTCGGCCCGTGATCGGAACCAGGGCCAGGGCACATGGGCGGCCCAGAGGGTTGAGGGCGGAGGATGCCGACCCCGCCGGACAGCTGTTCCTGGCCGAAGCCCTTGGCGGCCAGCGAAGCTCCCGCAGGCTCTCCCCGCTGTAGGACGATGACGACGCGCCAGACTCGGAGCTGAGCGCGCCCTCGCGCCGGCGGGACAGCGAGTCCAGTGAGTGGCTCTTCCTGCCCGTCCGAGAACCCGCTGGCGGAGGTTGGGTCCGGGCCGGGGAGGGACTGGAGGATGCCTTGCGGGCCGCACGCGGTGCGGGCGAGGCCGGGAGGCTGGTGCTGCTGCAGCTGCTGCTGCTGCCCGCGCTTGAAGCCGAGACCGCAGCGGCCGCGGGGCCCAACGGCGTGAAGAGGCGCCGCTTCTCCTCGCGCACGATGCGCTCGCGCTCGGCCCGGCACTGCTGCAGCTTGGCGCGCCGCTCCGCCTCGTACGCCTCGTACAGGCCAGTGGCCACCCGCATGGAGCGGCCCGGGGCCTCGCGCACCAGGTCGGCCAGGGCCCGTGGCAGCAGCTCCACCGGCTTGACGGCACAGCGGGCGCAGGCCTCTAGCGAGCGGGGACTGGTCAGCACGTAGCGGCTGCCCTCCGCCTCCGGGCAGTCGAAGTTGAAGAGGTCGAGGTGCAGCAGTGGGGACTGCTCCCGCCGCCCGCCTTCTGCTGCACTTGGGGCTTCAGCCTTGCGGGGTACCGCTGCGGAGGCCGAGGCCGAGGCGGCTGCCGGCTCCTGGGCGCCCTGGGATTCAGGGGGCACCGAGGCTGCGGCCCCGTCCTCTCCCGAGCCAGCGGGCTCGGCGCCCACTTTCTCCTCTTCAGGCACCGGGTCCACCATGGCTGAGCCTCGTCCTTTGTTGGGATCTCTGCGGATGACAAGGTGGGACATCAAGGAATACATTTGAGAGCCGTTACCCCCTTCTCACCCGTATTCACCCCCTCCCAACTTAATCCGCTTTCGGATTAGGCTCGGAAGCCTGGTGGAACGTAAATCATAAAACTGATGCCGGAAGACCCGGGCTGGGCGCCGGGCAGGGGTGGGGGTGGGGCGGGCCCTCGTGCATACAGAGCAGCCTCAGTCTCCCTGAGCCCCGGAATGCAGGGCGGAGGCCTGTGGCGAGGCTCCTCTGGGCGCCTGGCCCGCTAGATGCATCCCCTGCCTGCTGCAAGTTAAAATGAAAAGACCGAGGTGCAGGCAGCAGCCAGCGAGGGAGGCGCTGGAGGATTCCCGGGAGGATTAGCGTATTTGTTTGTAGCTTAGGCGGGCTGCTGGGATGCAGCTTTGCAGGGACAAAAAAGGAAGAGGCCTGTTCATCCCAAAGTGCATTGCTGAGAGGACCCCATTTGCCTAGGGGAGAAGTTTATGGTTGATTTCCCACTGCCAAAGGAGACCCAGGCGCGGGGACCACGGGTGATGGAAGGTCTGAGAGAAATCCCCAAAGGCCTTTTCGCGAGGGTGATCAATTCTTGCCTCTGCTTTAGCCAGGGCTTGCTAGGGGCTCTGCCCGCCTCCTTCGCCCTTTACCCCCCACCCCTCCACTGGGTGTTCTCCGGGCATTGAGAAGGCACCTGGGTCCTCCCAGATGCACCGACTTCCTCCGAGTCTGAATGTGCTAATGGTACCATGCACCCCAGTCTGCATTCAGATGCCCTCCGAGTTCCCCCACTGCATCCCAGTGGGGTGGGATTCTGCAGCGCAGCGAGCCCAGCCGCGCCAGTGCCCGGAGCTCCGTTGTCCAAGACCGCTCGCTTACCCCGCGCCCTGGGCTCCGGCCCCGCGCCAAGGGCTTTTGTTCGCCGCTCGCTGCCGTCCGCTGCGCTGCTTCAGTCTCCGCGCCGGCGGGGTCGGGTTACTGCCGGCTGCAGCCGCGAAAGGAGCTCCAGCTGCCGCCGCCGGGGTCTCTCCATGGGGTCCGCGAGCGGGGCGCACACACCCCAGACACGACTTACAAGCAGGAGGGGGAGTGCGACAAAGTCCCCCTAAAATAACGCGGCTTTGCTCCCTTCCCTCACACCGATTCTGTAAAAAGGAAGCCGGGTTCCATCGCTGCAGCATCCATCGCCGGCTCTACAGCCGCGAAGGCGCCGCAGGTCTCGCGCTGCCCTCGGCGCCTCCTGCTGGACACTCCGGGTGTTGGTTGGTTTGCTTAGAGGACGAAGGAGAAATTTTTAAAAAAATATATATAATAATTATGTGTATTATACTACACACATACATAGATAGATGTAGATATATCACCAAGGAACCCTAGTTCTTTCAGCAGCACCCCAGGTGGGTAAAATGAAGGATCGCTCAGCTTGTTTTTCAAGGGAACCCTGAGGAGCAAACAAACTTGATAGCAAATAATTGGGTGGAAATATGGTGTCTGATGCAAACTGTAATTATTTTTTAAAGAAAAACTAAGAACACTCATACAGGTTTGAGGCAGGCAGAACGTATGTGACTAGTGTTTAATGCAACATGTTATGACTCTGGTTTCACATAATAAAAATTATAACCAGTTAGTGCCATTCAGTGAGTGCTATTTTTGAGACATCTCCTCCCCACCCCTTTCCATTTTGAGTGGTAGTGGCCATAGGAGGCGGACGGGAGGAACACGGGAGCCTGGAGGCTTCCAGGGCGGGTGGGTCATAACATTAGAGAACACAGTGAGCTCTGTGTTAAATAACCTTGACGTCGTCAGGTAGGCTGTAGGAGAAAGTAAAGGGCTTTAATCGGGGAAATGACATGATTTGGTTTATATTTTAGGAACATAACTCTGGAGACAATGGGGTGGAGGCTTTACAAGGGCCAAGAGGAGACAGGAAGCCCGGTTAGTTGGACACTGCAGTCAGCCCAGGCAGGAAGGATTGGGACAAGTGCAGGAACAAAAGTAGGAGGAATGGGCCCGATGGGGAGTGAGTATGGATTCTGGAAACAGAAAGTTAAAGAAGCAATACTCAAAGGGTGACTGCCTGAAGCAATGGGTTGGGGGGGGTGCTTATACTACAAACTGAGAGTGGATCCAAGAGGGAGGATTAGCTGGAGTGGAGGGCCAGGGAAAGACAAGTTCCTTTTTAAACCACTTGAGTTTGAGGTGGAGCTGCTCAGCAGGTGGTGGATAAGTTGTGTCAGAGGTCTGGACTGGAGCTAGAATTAGGACGTCATCACCAAATGCATGTTTCCTAAAACCAACAGTGTGAGCGAGCAAGCTCAGCAAGGGCCGGTGGAGAGATGAGCGAGGTTGGCAGGGCATGGATGGGGCTGCCAAGGGAAAGGGAGTCCACGAAGGGGACCAGTGAAGACAGGCAGCAAAGTGTGGTCTGTGTAAGCTAACAGTGGGGCACTTCAGGGAAATGTGCCTCTCGTGTTAAAGGGCTGCAGAAGGATTTCACCTGGAGTCAAATACCCACTGAAACTGGCAGCTATCTGTCTTTGGTGATATTGGCAAAAAGGGCTCAGTATTGCACTGGGGCAGATGCCAAAGTGCAGGAAAGTGAGGTGCAATGGGAGCTGAGAAAGTGAAGAGTTACTGATTCTCTTGACATTTGGATGGTAGTGTTAAGAATTGTGAGGCCCCATGGTATACATATACCACATTTTATTAATCCACTCATGAATTGATGGGCACTTGGGTTGTTTCCACAGCTTTGCAATTGTGAATTGTGTACTACTCAGCTTTAAGAAACAACGGTGATATAGCACTCTTGTATATTCCTGGGATAGGCTGGACCCATTCTACTAAGGTGAAGTATCTCAAGAATGGAAAAAACAAGGCACCATGTACTCATCCAGCCAAATTGGTATACAGATCAACACCTAAGTGGCATTATAGGTACATTTTCAGGTTGGCAGGGGGGAGGGGGAGGAGGATGGGTATATTCAACACCAACGATAAGATGTGCAACGTTTGGGGGATGGACACACTTGAAGCTCTCACTCGAGGGGGGAGGGGGAGCATGGGCAATATACATAACCTTAACACTTGTACCCCCATAATACGCTAAAAAAAAAAAAGAATTGTGGGCTGGGCGCAGTGTGGTAACAGCCTGTAATCCCTCGCACTCTGGGAGGCAGGCAGGAGGGATGCTTGGAGGTCGGGTTTGGACTAGCTGAACCAGGTGGAGACCCAGTCTCTGCTAAAAATAGAAAAATTAGCTGGGCTCAGTGGCACAGGCCTGTAGCCCCAGCTACTCAGAAGGCTGAGACAGGAGGATCACTTGAGTCCAAGAGTTTGAGGTTTCAGTGAGCTATGATGACACCACTGCACTCTAGCTGGGGTGACAGAAATTCTGTCTCAAAGCAAACAAACAAATAAATAAACAACAAAAACAAACAAACAAACACAAAAGAATTGTGAAGGGTTTGGAATTTTACCCTACTCACATGCTGACAAGTTAACCTGCCACATAGATGCTGGCAGAAGGCAGGAGACTCCAGGGTCAGAAACAAAGAACTTTGTGTTACTCATGGCCCAGCAAGCAGCATGAAGTCATGTGTTTTGTTGACTCCCCTAGCTCTGCAAGTCCCATGGGCCATGGAGAGGTAGGCCCAGGTAGATACTACACACACAGTGGGTTTATGTCACAGCTGGGTGACCCCAAACTCAGTAAACCCTAATCTTTTAAAGGGGCTACTTGCAAACCTGTCAACATTTGCCATGAGGGAGGCATTACCTTTATTATCCTAGACAACAAATAAATCTTTCCTCTGCCATCCTTCAGAAATAATCCAGAACAAAAGCCTTTGCAAGATATTCAGAAATGCCATAAAGAATTGCTGTCAATAAAGAAAAGGAGCAATTGGTCACATGGCTAAGAGGTGAGGCTGGGATTTGGACCTGGCTCTGTCTGATCCTAATGTGAATCCCATGCATTGTATTTCCCCTCCAAGCTGAGCATCTGGTGAGATGTGGGTTTGGATGGAGATGAGTGGGGTGGGCAACTCCAAACTTCCTTTTTTCCTTCTTTGCATAGAATCCCATGAAATTGCCTCCCTCAAAGTAATTATGTCTGTGAAAGAACTATGTGTTATCTTTGCCCTGTAGTTTTCACATTGGCTAAACATGGACAATAATACCTCCCTTCCAGGGTTGTTGTCAGAACTGAAAAGACTATATGCAAGGTACCTAAACCAACACATTATCAACAAACAGTGATCAAATAGTTTGCATTTATTTTAATAAACTTTCTCTTATAAACTTGATCATAATCAACATCTATAGTATTTGCAAATTCTTAAGGGGAAGCCCAATAAACGTTCTGCCCTTGATTAAGGAATGATTCTTCATCTGGGAAGGTCATGGAAGAAGAGGGCTTGGTCAAGGGCCCCTTAAATAGGACACCAACCTAGCTAGCCACTTCAGCAGAACTGGCCTGGCAATCAATGGGGTGTCATTGAACCGTCAGATATCTCTCACTTCTCATCTTTAAGTGCCTTGGACATATCAGGGGATGGACTTCACTTCAGGTTGGAAGTCCTAGCCTGCCAAAGATCAAGGGTGTTAAGTCCAGTTTCATTATGGTACCCAGTAAAGAAAGCAGACCAGTTTGGGAACACCACTTGCCCCTCAAGAGTGGGATAGTAGACATGATCGTGAGGAATGTGGGCTTAAGAGTCAGACAGACTGACAGTTCAAATTCACACAGCTGTGCCAGGCTGTGTGATTTCAGGCAAGTTTCTTAACCCCTCTGAGCCTCAAATTCCAGTCCTTCCAGAGGAAGGGACAATATGGACTGTTATTTTGCCTTGTACAGACCCTTAGAGATGATAATAATTTATTAAGTACACTCTTAGATAGTTTAATACAATAGCTCACTAATCTAGACAAAACCTCCTAAAATATCGACATTATCATCTCCACTTAAATTCCTTTTGCTCAGCCCCCCTCCCCCAGCTCTGTGCACTTGTGCTTGGTCCCCTCCCTCTCAATATAATCCGTTTACATAACAGAGGCGTTTTCACTCTGTAGTTCTACATCAGGAGTTGTTAAACTATGATCTGTGGGCCAAATCCATTGGCTGGTTTTATAAATCCGGTTTTATTGGAACACAGTCATGCTTATGTTTTTACAAATTGCTTATACTGCTTTCGTATAATAAAGGCAGGCTTGAGTAGTTTGGGCAGACTGGATGACTCACAAATCATAAACTACTTGCTATCAGACTCTTTAAAGGAAAAGTCTGCCAACCCTGTTCTAATGACTGATAACAGCTTATGCCAGTTATCAATTTATTGCCTCATAGCTCCAAATCCACCCTGCAGTCCTGCTCTGGGATGATGTGCTCTAAGAATTTGCTACCTGACAACGAGCCCAATATCAAAGCTTGCCAGCAGAGGGAGCTGGAGCAACGTTGCAGGAGGAAGGGGCTTCTCTTCCCGGTTGCTGTCTGCTGTGCTGTTTGCTGTTTCTTGCTGCTGCGTGGTTAGTGGTCCAGGTGTATGGGAACATCCTGTGGTAGCCTGCTCCAGCTCATGCACAGAGCAGTCCCTTGGTAACCTCGCAGCCTGGGCCAGGCCTCGTGACCACCATCCTGTACCTTCCTGAAGTGGACACCAAATTGCTTATACCCATAGTAGTGCTCTGATTTCCTCTCACCAGCCTCAGTTCACCTGCATCCTTCGAGATTGTTTCCTGTTTGCCCCAAACTGTGGAGCAGCTCTGCCCTGGGCAAACTTCTCTGCCCTGGGCAAACTCACCCAATGGGCTGCAACCCTACCTTCTCCAAGGAGGTCTGTCCCAGTCTTGAGGAAAAAGCTCCCCTTCCATGTTGTCCTTCCTCAAATACTGCCCCTCAGCCTTAGGGGAACTTTACAGTTGTCTTTATACTTTTGTGTTTACTCTCCTTTCATACCTTCATACCTCTTTATATTGAGCTTCTTCTGTTTAAATTGTGGTTTCTCTCTCCTAATTGGACCCAGACCAATATATAGCTTAACATGTAACTATTCCCAATTCTTTTTTTTTTTTTTTGAGACAGAGTCTCACTTTGTTGCCCAGGCTAGAGTGAGTGCCGTGGCGTCAGCCTG